AAAAAGAGCTAGAGTTTCAGGCTGCCAGACAATCTTCAGATCTTCTGGTTATACTCTACCCACTGCCATATGATAATTAATTAATCTACCCAGGCCAATTTTAATTGGTAGAGCTGAGAGCTAGCTCACACTGAGGCTCAAGCCTGCCTGGAAACCTTATGCCTCCTGCCCTGTGCCTTGGATGATCGGTGTGCAGTTTGCTGTTGCTCAGAGGCACTCTTGCTTCTTTCTGGTGTTTCCTGGATTGAGCAGGGGACCACCTCTGGTGAAGATCTGGTGGCATCTGGGATTCATACAAGTCAGTCCCTTTTGAGCTCAGAGTGGGTTTAGTAATTATGTGCAGCAGCTCTGAAATGTAGGCTGCATTGTTATTCCCAAACTCCTTCCTGGACATTTTTGGGGTGGAGCCTGATGAGGGCGGAGTTTGGGGAGGGGAGGGAACTCAGCAGGGTGTAACGCCACAGAGTCCACCTTCCAAAGTGGCCATTTTCTCCAGGGGAACTGATCTCTGTAGCCTAGAGATCAGTTGTATTAGCTGGTCATCTCCAGTCACCCCCTGGAGGTTCACAAGCCCTATGATAGAGAAAGAGTGAGTAACTTGCCTAAGGCCCACCTAGCAAGTCTGAAGCAGTCAAATTTTGAATCAACAATCTTATAGCTTTTGCTTACTTACACCAATACCCTCCATGGGTAGATGCTATTCTAAGGCTCCGGTCACACGGGCCGGATATCGTGCGTGGGGAAGGCGTGGCTGTTTGCCCTGGAGCGAACTACTGCGCGGCAGCCAGATCACATGTCCCGACCGACGTCCCGTGGTTGGGGGGAGGTGCCGATCATACCTCACTCCTGCGGCGCAGCAAAGAAGCGCCGCCACGGGAGTTGTGTGTGTGTTTTTTTAACCCAAGTGTTTGCATGCGCCGTTGGGTGCTTGTGCGCACCCGTGGAGACTTGACAAAAAAAAAGTTTTCGCGACGGGACATGGGCGGGCGCCGGATGCCACGAGCTAACACCGGAAACGTGATCTGACGCCTGCCCTTGCCCTGCGGTTTCCGGAAACTAGTACCTCGGAGGTACTAGTTTTTTACAGCGCATCTTCGGAGTGAAGCCTCGGGTGAGCCACGGGAGCTCCATGCTTCCCAGATGTGGCGGTGAGATCGCGCCCGGAAAATCCGCCTATCTTCTGTTCTCTAGCGTGCCTAATGCTCCGTGTGACCGGGGCCCAAGTGTCCCAACTGAACAGTGGTTCTCTTTTTGTTCTCAGTCTCCTAATATGTCGGAGCTGGTCAGAAAATCATCTGTAAGGCGGGATTTCGAACACGCTCTGTAAGCAGCTGGTTGGCCGCAAAGCGTTTCACGGGCATCCGAGTGTTACAAGATCATAAGCCTTGACCTTTGGGAGGACGCCTGTGTTGGTTCGACTAAGCTTAGATAAGTCGTCTGAAGTGGGCCGTGAAATGGCGGCTGTGTCAGGGATGGGAAATATCAGCGGCGTGTGAACTTTCACTGTCCAGAGGCTGGGAGCTTTATCCATACCAGATCTTCAAGAGTCCTTGAATTGCTTTTCTGTGCGTTCCGGTATTACATGCCGCTGCATGCATTGAAAGGTCTGCATTGTCACGTTGCTTGGTGTTGTGGACATGCTGTCTTCAGAATGGTCACATCCTCCTGTTGGGTAACCCGCATGAGTTCTTCCCCTGAGGCTCCGTGGGGCTTGTTCTGGACAGTGTCTGGATGGAAAATAGCCTCGTAAATCACTTCTTGGTGGGTGGGTGGGTGTGCCCCACCCTTCTTCCAAGGAACTAAGAGTGTTGCACACATTTTGCCTTCCCTGTGAGTAATGTTAGGGTGTGTGATTGACCAAGGATTACCCAGGATGCTTCCATGGCAATGTGGTCTGGTTGTCACCTCTGGGCTGGGAAATCCCTGGAGATTTTGGAGGTGGAGTCTGGGGAAGGGTTCAGTGAGGGACCTCAGCAGGGTAGAATGCCGTAGAGTCCACCCTCCAAAGGAGCCATTTTCTCCAGGGGAACTGATCTCTGTTGTCTGGAAATCAACTGTAACAGCGGGAAATCTCTAGGCGTCACCCTGCAGTGTGGAGAAGTGCACCCCGGTCTCCCAGATGCTAGTTTGATGTTTCAACCGTTGTGCTACACACAGGACATAGGTGTACCAAAGGTTTTGGAGATCAGGGCGGATTGCCTTGCAGTTTTTAATGTCTTCCAGTCTGCCGTGCATCTTGGGGAAAGGGGAGACGTAGCAGAGGCTTGTAAACTGTTACATGGTGTTGGGAAGGTAAACAGAACCCCCCCCCCCTTCTCTTGTAACTCTAAAACTGGGAAGTCATCCAGTGAAACTGTTGGTTGGTAGATTCAGGCCAGACAAGATAGATGGTTTCACACTGTGTGTCCTTAACTTAGGAATTTGCTGCCACAAGATGCGATGAGGCTTTGGGAGAGTTAATTCAGATTCCTGGAGGGGTAGCCCTATCCATGACTGTTAGCAGTGGCTGGGTGGAGCCTCCACGTTCAGAGGCAGTGTACCTCTGAATACCAGCTGCTGTGGTGCAACAGTGAGGGAGGGCTGTTGCTTTCGTGCTCTGCTTGCGAGCCTCCTAAAGACGTGTGGCTGGCCACTGTTGGGAGGAGGAGGCTGGGCTGCCTTTGGACAGATCCCGTGAGCCCTTCCGTATTTTTACATTCTTGAGTTAGTGAACTCAAATTGCATTCTGCCGACAGCAAAAAATGTTGCTGGCTGCCACTTGTCCCGAGAGCTGGTCTGAGAGATCGCGGCCACCTCAGATATGTGGAGGAACAGGCTCGTTTACTTGTTTAAATGTGCCCAGATTTCTCTTGTGCATGCAAAGCTCCCGTGGCAGGGTGCAGTGGAGCATGGAAGGATTGTGCACAGCAATTCTGTGTTAGGAGTAGAGATGTAAAATTTCCGGAAATTTTGAAGCTTGGAAAAAAACCCAGTTTTTTCCGAGAAAAATTGGAAATTTTTGGAAAAATTGAAAAAAATGCTACATTAGCATTTCTTTTGTCTTTTCTAGATTGAAAGTCATTCTGTTACTTTAGGAACATAAAATATGACTATGGACATTTTTACTTGGCATGAAATTATCACAACTAGCATATTAAAAATATAGTGTATCCAAACAATTATTACAAACAGAATACCCACCCACATGCAAAAACAAAACTGAAACCTTTTTATTTTCTTCTGACAATAGCACCTCCTAAAGGAAGAAATGCATCTTGCATTGGAGAGTTCAGTTTGTAACCTAGGACTGGCTTGTCCTCAGTGCACAGAAATTAGATCAATCTGAAATTATTTGGAAAATATTTGAACACCTTGTCTTAAAATATTTTATTTATCATGTTAAAATAAAACATTCCATAATCAATTTGTTTCTTTTCTTTTTCCAATTTTTCGGAAAAAAACAAAAAAGGCTTCAGGAAAAAAAATGGGGG